CTTTGAAAAAAGTTTGGACACCCCTGAGCTAGGGTTTTTAATACTGGCCCAGTTCTACTGTTTATTGATTTTTATGATCCTTTTCATTTAGACAGTTTTGTTTCATTTGTTCATACTTGCAGAAGAAATCAGTTGTGACTCTTGAAGCATTCCACAGAACTTTCTCCCTGTTGGTGGGCAACCTCTAGTGCAGAGCACTCTAGATATATGGATTCTTTAACTATGTCAAATTTTGCTTCTGATGATTGTTGTCACCTGGCTGAAATACTTCTCAGGCTCAAAATGAAATCATTTCCCACTGTGACACATCTTTCAATACCTAAGCCACCAGTGAGCTGTTTTTCCTCAATTCAGTCAAGCTGCTGTGAATTATCCTGTAGGCAGTCATAGGAGCTGCATGAGATAAGGTACCTTGCCATTACCAAGCATAACAGCTTGCTCTCAATGTATTCAGTATTATTTTGCACAAAAGCATGAAAATACTGATTTTTAAACTAGAAACGATATTCTCCTTTCCAGATGTGCAGCTAGGACTCTTGCCTATATAGAGCCTTGTAGCAAACATACAGGTTGAGCGTTTCTAGGATAGCAGTCTCTGGTCCAGCAACATCCATAGTCCAGCATGAATTTAGTTAGCCGGATAGCCACTTATGGGTTTGGCCAAGTTTCTCATGGTCCCATAACGTGTTTACAGCCAACAGTCCTAGCTCTCAATATTCTGTGCTACTATTTAGCAGCCTTTTAAGAGCCTAGTAAGCACCAGAAGTGTTGGTAATGCTGTTAAAAAATACTGACCTCCCTTGGTTTGGTAAATTCTCTGGTTCACTACCAGTCAAGTCCCGAGAGTGCTGGACTCAAGAGATTCAACCAGTAGTAAGCAGATAATGCCAAGTGAAGTCAATCAAAAGACTGCCACTGACTTTAATTGGCTTTGAAGCAGGCATTAGTAAACAAGACAGATAAAACACATACATTAATGTAGGTTAATGCTCTTGCTTCTTCATTAGTCAATATTTGAGGCCTTGCTAGATTGTAAATAAACGTGATTACCCCCAAAGAAATACCTTGCTCCTGTAATCAACTTCCCCAAATGGAAACAACGTACACAAAGCTCTGTTTCTCTTAACACAGCAGAAACTGACAAAAGGAGGCATTTTCTGTGTTCAGAAATCCAAGTTGGCCTTTTCAGTGAGTACTCTACCCAAAAATATTTCATGCATGTGTGTGTCCCCTCTTCACCCAGAGCCATGGACCACTTCTCACTTTCCTCATTCCTGTCACGCACTGTTGCAAAGGAATCAATGTCCTAGACAGTTTGCTATTAGTTGCCAGGGAAACCTCTCAGGTTCCATGGCTTAGCTTTTACTCAGGTCTTAGTATGCCGAACTATACCTTGAGCAGCAGGTTCTATTTTTTTTTCCAGCTATCACTGAACAAAAGGACATTTAGTTTCTCCTTCCTATAGCCTAAAGAAAGGGTGATTAGTACACGGATTGATTTTGACCAGGACTGAACTACAATTAACATCTTCCAGCATATCATCTCTGTCTGTAAATTACTTCATGTGCTTGTAGAACTCTGACATACCGTTGTACTGATGTCACACCCAGACACTGAACTTTTTAAAGAAAAATATCTAGTACATCCATGTGAGACAATTTATCAAAAATTAATATGCTAGCCACTGGGAAAGGAAAATATGTTCAAGAATCCAAGTCTGAGAATGCTTAAAATATCAAAGGAAGAAAATGCAATAAGCTGGAAACTAACAGAGGTTGCTTCTATGGTCTGATTGTATTATGTATATAGCCTGTACATTAAAAAAGGGAGAGAGGCAAAGGGAACCATGTCTCTCCCTTTGAAATATACAAGCGCTGCAGGTGGCTCTTGTACATTTCAAAGGGAGAGGAGCAGTGGGATAGTGAGCAACCCCTTTGTTGACTAATCAATTAGCGGATTAATTGAAATTCAACATCCTTACAGAAAACCAGACTGTATGACCTAAGAACTAAAATATATATGGAGGTCTTGCACTTTATGTTGTAATTTACACAAATGCAATGTGGCTATAATATGACATTTTATATGCACTTTACACGGGTGAAAATAACTGCACAACACTTAAAGCATTGGAAAAAAAATCAACCCTCTAAACGAATTTCTTTCTTCTTTGAGCATTTTCTACTGCGAAGAATGAGAACGGTTAATATTCACATTTATTATCCTATAGATTCTTTATAGTAATGAGCCAGATAGTCTGACTATTCAGACTACTGACTAGGGATTTTTATTGCTTAACATTTTATTACAAAGCACAGGAATGCTCATCTCTCCTCACAAGGAAAAGGCCTCAGTTGAGCTCAGTTGAGGCTTCTGAAAAAAATATCAGAATAACCTCTTCAGTCTAAAAATTATGTGAAACATGCATGCTAATTCAGGTAATGGTCTAATTTTTTTAAAAAGTGAGTGATTGCAATGGCTAACCTTCAATCTGACGTAATGTTTTCTATGCGTAAAGTCTACTTCTGTAATCAGAGGAAACAGGAAGTGATCACGCAATGAAATTAATAGGCAGTGGGTTTAAAAAACAAACAGGGAGGTACTTCTTCACATACCACATAGTCAACCTGTGCAACTCGTTGCTAGGGGATGTTATGAAGGTTAAAACTAACTGGATTTTTAAAAAATAATTATATAAGTTTGTGGAGGATAGGTCTACCAATGGCTATTAGCCAAGATCAGGAATGCAACCCTCGAAACCAGGTGTCCCCAAGCCTCTGACTGCCTGGTATTGGTACTGGACAATCAGGAATGGATCACTTGATGATTATCTGTTCTGTTCATTCCTTTTGAAGCACCTGGCATTGGCCACTGTTGGAAGACAGGATACCAGAATACATGGACCGCTTATCTGACCCAGTATGACCATTCTTATATTCTTCGCAGATGTGTCAACACATCTGGAAAAGAGCATCTCATTTTGTTCTAGACTACTATTCCCAGAGAGACAAGATAAAAATTAAGGGTCCACAAAAATCATAAAGTGTGGAGCCATAAGTGAGCTAGAACACAGTACTACTAAGAAAACAGGAAGATCTGTCACTTTGGACCAATATAAAATTAGCACAGGAAGTGAGAAGAATCTCTTACCGGACACAATACTAGAAAGAAACTTTTAGCTTCAGAGGATGTAATTACCCTAGCTAGAACTCAACTACGACCTGAAGGTCAATACTCCCCACTCTGACAGCAGAAAACAACAGAATCTTTCATGGCCATGAAATAGATTTGATATCTATTATTTTACCTAGTACTGTGACAAGTAGTGGCTTAACACTAAGCACTTCAGTTCACTAGTTTCTGACTTTAAAACAAGAGTATTAACATTTTTTGCTGTTTAAAAAAACATGCAGTTTTACTAACATAAAAAAATTAGATGAGATGCCCATAAAACTGTTTTAGAATATAAGTCACAGCATGCAGCATTTTAAAAAATATTACAAGAAAATGAATCATGTATTAACATATACACACAAATAGTGGGTACTCTAAAACTCTTTCCTACACTTACAAAAAAAAAAAAATCACACATCTGATGATTTTTTATAATCAGTTTAATACATGTACAATTTACTCTGCATTTTGTTGTGTTAGTGTTTTTCAAGTTAATGCATGAGATATTTAAGAGTCTCTCTTTGTAAACAAAAGGCTTTGCCTGTTACCTTTGGGAAAGTACTATTTATGGACAATTATTACAGTTAAGAAGAGATCAACATTTGAGCTATACAACCTCATATTTCTCTCACGTTGATGCAAAACCTGAAGCATCACTCCAGAAGTCAGAACTTGCTGGAATGGTCAAAATGTTTGGCAGGCTCTCCTTGCATGGTTTCAAGTCAGTTTGCAAGTAAAAGATTTACTCGTGTGCAATCTATTAATCTCAACAGTAATCTTATGTCTCTTAAAGTATTCCTCAATGACCAGTCTGCAGCCTGGCACCAGTTCCTGAGATCTCCCACACGCAGTTTAGGATGGCAGCAAGCCAGTCCATGGTAAGGATAAGGACTATTTTAAGATACTTCTCAATGAAGCAAACTCACAATTATATGGAAAGACTGCACTCTCTCCTATGAGTCCTGCCAATCCAGTGTTCAATATGAGCAAGCTTGATAGAAGAACAATATTCAAGCTATGTCTTCACCTCCTAGGGTGACAGTCATAACGCCACATCCGGAGTCATATTATCTGTTTAAGTCCATTACAGGTGACTCAGAATGCAAGCACAGAAAAACAGAACTCACACACCAACACTTTAGTAGGTTGAGCATGCTGCTGATGTTGGCACAAACTTATCCCAGCAATACATTCCCTCCAAAAATGGATTTATGGGTATTGGAAGCATCACCATTTATTTGTTTTTTAAACACTACCCATGCAAAAATCAACACAAGTTTTATCCTCATTAATAGCAGTAAAAATTTATTGTGAGCTTCAGTACCATTTGAAAGTTTTGGTAGATAGGAATGAATACCAACTGTAGATGTTGAACCTCTCTAGTCCAGCACCTTCAGGACCTGACCAGTATCAACCAGAGAATTCGGTGGATCCCAGGAGGTCAATATTGTCTAGCAGCATTACCAACACTTCCGCTCCTTACTGGGCTCTTAGAAGACATTTACAAGTAAATTATAGCTAACGTAACAGCACAGAACAGAGAGAGCTAAGACTAGCGACTGTAAACAAACTTTATGTAACCACAGGAAAGTCGGTCACAACCATGATATCCAGCTAACTAAAGTCATGCTGGACCACAGATATTGCCAGTCCAGGGAGGTTCAACCTGTGTTATCCTTTGATCACTAGCTGAGCATTAGAGGGGAGAATAGAACAGACTGAAATGGGGGAAATGTACTTTCTAGTTTGCTTAGGAAAAAAAGATGAGTCCTTATTTTATACAAGTTAACAAGAAACTTACCATACTATTAAAAATGTTTGCTTACCTGAAAATAAAATTTGTCCGAAAATATATGCACACCACCACACCGCGTAGAATATGATAATATGCTCCTGCTGGGAATAAGGAAGGAGATAGGAAGGTGTAAGTATTTTGCCTTTTTGAAAGTTTTTCAGCTGAACTCCGATGAACCAAATCAAGCCCTGGAAACAAGTCTTGGTCTGGCTTTGTGATCAGCCTACCTGTAAGAGGGGGAAAAAAGACCACTTAGCCTCTCGCAACATAGATATGAGGAGACATTTTGGGGTCAGACATCTAAATACACTAAAAAGAGACAATTTAACTGATTAAATTTTTGTTTTGTTTTCTGCTTAAATAACCCAACCCACCATATATTCAAAGCAGTCATTGTTAATGTTGATACTAGTAGGTCATGAATGTGATTTTTTTTAAAGATGGACACTTTTCCCTTTTAGCTTTGTTAGATCTGTGTATTTATGATGGGTAGAACTTTTAGAATAGAAAAGGACTGAAGTTTTCTATATATCCATAGAACAAGAAAGTTTCCCCAACAGCATCTGTCAATCTGGAAGCATCCTTTCTAAGGACAAGAGTGTAATAGTTATCAGAGAGATCATGCAAAATTACTATTTTACCCCAGTGTGCAATACAGATTAGGGATGTTAGATATTGGGTATTTTAGTAATCATGTAGCTGCAACAATTTTTAACAGTTACACGGTTACTAAAATACTCCCTAGGGCGGGGCTGGCAGCCAGTGCATGCTCCAGGTTCCAATCCCGTGGAACCCCCTGCCACCTTGCACTGCAGCACAGGGTGACAGGCAGAGCTGGTCTGAGAGGGCAGACAGTTTAGAGGCAGAGATAGCAGCATAGGGGCAAGAGGCAGCACCATGGAGCTGGTGCTCACGGTCTCTCCCTGAGCAGTGGCTCCCACCTGCTCCTGCCCCCCCACCTGCCCCTGTGGGAGGCAGTGAGAGAAGGGGGCAGACTGCTCTACAGCAGCCAGCACATGTGGGGAGCAGGATTTAAGCCAGCTCTCACCTGTCCTCCCATTGCTGCCTCTCATACAGAGGCAGCAAGGGGGGAAGGGGTCACATATTGTCATTTGAATTTACTGATAAGCCCAGGCTTATTTGTTAATTGTTTAAACAGATATACACTAACATCCCGAATACAGATTTTGTATATGAAGTTGGACGCAGATCACCAATTCCTTGTAGATGGTAATGACTTTTGGGTCATAACTAATCGGGGTTGTTTTTGAATCATAACCTAACTGTAGAGATCTGTTTATAATTGCTATTTCCTTGAGTCATCTTATAAACCACCTCTTTTCTAATCATTTTTACAACATAAAACTGTACTATTTATGTGAGCTGAATTCAGGATTAATAAAATAAAAATAAATAAAAAATTAGATGGGCCAATATTTTCCAGAATGGATACCTTATTAAGTGGCCTCATTTTCAAAATCAATAAGAACCTAAGCACTTTCAACTAACTTCAGGAACTACCTTATAAGCTCTGATTTTTTCAAGATCCATGAACTTCCTCAACTTCCATTTATAGACTCCAAGACAGAGCTACAAGGAACATTTAGGAGTCATTAATTCCTGCCCCCCAAGCTTTGGTAGACCAAAGATATCTGCATTCCTGGCAGGTGTCTGCTCACTCATTTCTTAATACACGTCAATTAACCAAGATTCCAGCCACTCTTGGAAACCTATCCCAGAGCTTAACTGCCTACATAGTTTGAAAGTTATAAGTTTTCCAATATCCAGCCGAAGTCTCCCTTGCAACAGATAAACCCTTTATGTCTTGTCCAACCTTCAGCAAGACATTATCACCAACTGGAGGAGAAAGTGAGTAAGCAAAATGGTTGACAGAATGTGTCCCAATGTGGTTTTCATTCCAATTAAAAAATATGGCTAAATGCATTT